CTCCTCTGTTGTTGCTGTTTTTACTGATGTCCTTCTTTGTATCTTTGGGTTTAAATGTTTGGTTTTAAATATTTCTGTAGGGTTGACATTTCTAAACATAAAATCCTTGACACCTGCAGTTGTTGAGCTGTTATTAGGAAGACCCCAAAATTGTTCAGCTCTTTTTTAAAATAAACCCAACTCAAAAATAGCGATTCTAAGCTTTTTGAGCGGTTTCTGCTGTGTTTTCCCATACATCTGGGTTTCCACCGACATTTTGCCGGTTTTGCAAACCCCCCCCCCGATGCCGTTTTTACACCTGAAAACCAGGACATGTAAGGAACTTTCCTAACGCATGGCAAGCCTAATTGATAGTACATTTCCCCCCTCTATTCATTTATCTTACTATGTTTTATGTAAACCGCTTGGGGGGTTTGCATATTAAGTGGTATATAAATATTATTGGTGGTAGTGGTGGTGGTGATCAGGGAGATTCACAACCAGATACGAGGCCATTGGGGTAGGGAATGAGTCTTCCCCTACAAGGGGCTTTAGAAATGGTAACTTGGGGAGTTTTGAAAATGCATTTAGAACCTAGTGAGCTTGAGGGGGGGCTATTCTTAGGAGGCTGTTCCCGAGTAGGAGACCCTCTTGTGTCCCTCTACTGTCCCCCTGGGACGCGGGTGGCACTGTGGGTTAAACCACAGAGCCTAGGACTTGCTGATCAGAAGGTTGGCAGTTCGAATCCCCGTGACGGGGTGAGCTCCTGTTGCTTGCTTGGTCCCTGCTTCTGCCAACCTAGCAGTTCGAAAGGACAAAAGAGCAAGTAGATAAATAGGTACCGCTCTGGCGGGAAGGTAAACGGTGTTTCCGTGCGCTGCTCTGGTTCGCCAGAAGCGGCTTAGTCCTGCTGGCCACATGACCCAGAAGCTGTACTCCGGCTCCCTCGGCCAATAAAGCAAGATGAGCACCGCAACCCCAGAGTCGGCCACGACTGGACCTTCTCGGCTGCGGCTCCAATCTGGTGGAACGCTCTGTCACAAGAGACTAGGGCCCTGCGGGACCTGACATCTTTCCGCAAGGCCTGCAAGACAGAGTTGTTCCACCAGGCCTTTGGTCAGGGCCCAGCCTGACTCCCACCTCTGGCAACCTGCACAGAACTTTGCTTAACGGTTGCCATTAATTTGATTTTAATTAATTTCTATAATGAAATGTTTTAGAATGTTGGATTATTTGACTGTTTGATTATTTGTTTGTTGTTAGCCGCCCTGAGCCTGGCTTTGGCTGGGGAGGGCGGGATATAAATAAAATTTATTATTATTATTATTATTATTAATGGTCAGGGGTCCCTTTACCTTTACCTTACTGTCCCCCTCCCTGTGCCTACCTGCCCCTCCCTGACTTTCTTCTCCCCCCAGCTGTGATTCCGGAGGGGACTGCGAGTGTCTCTGCACCGCCATCGCCACCTACGCAGAGGAGTGCAGCCAGCGGGGGGTTCCTGTGCGCTGGAGAAGCCAGGATCTCTGCCGTAAGTCATACTGCTTTTGTTTGGGAGCCTGGAAGTGGGGAAAGCCCCTTGCACACCCACTTTGCTGCCCAGCTGTGACACAACAGCTGTGCACTGTTGCCAGTGGGCCTTACTGTCTGAATGCTGCTGCCTCTACCTTCCAACTTACCCTGCAGCCCAGAAGGGAAGAGACTTGGCATGAACCAAGGCAATTTTTAAAAAAATATTTCTTAGGCAATGCACCTGGCATTCTTTGGACCAGCTGGCAGCTGACAGAAGCGAGCCAGCAGTCAATCACACCTTGCAAGTTGGAGCGAACTCTTCATTAACAAAAAACATGTATTGTACAGGAGTGTCAGGCCTAATGAGCACAGCTGCTGCTGCTTCTTTGGTGATCATTCGTAGCCGAGTAAGATTGTCTTCCATAAACACTGTTTTAACAGTGAGTCTGTAAGTGACTGTGGAGGCCAATTCTGGACCCACACGTCCTTCCACAGTGGGGACATTGGTTTCCGGGCAGGAGTTGATCACGGTGTGGGTTTGCCAATTGTGCCTTCCTCTTAGCACGTTTCTCCCTTACGTCCTGAGTTCGAATGTCTTCAAAGCCCAGGACACCTTTGGTCAAGGCTGTTCTCCCACTCGCAGGCCAGTGTTTCCCAGTTGTCAGTGTTTATACTACATTTTTTAAGATTAGCCTTGAGAGAGTCTTTAAACCTCTTTTGTTGACCACCAGCATTACGCTTTCCATTTTTAAGTTCAGAATAGAGTAGTTGCTTTGGAAGGCGATGATCAGGCATCCGCACAACATGACTACTCCAACGAAGTTGATGTTGAAGAATCTTTGCTTCAACACAGGTGATCTTTGCTTCTTCCAGTACACTGGTATTAGTTCTGGCAGGTCTTACCGTCATGAAGCAGCTGCAGAGACTGAAGGTCCCCGCCTCCCCCAATTGTCTAAGTCCCCTCCTCTCCAGGATTTCCCCCAAGTCACTGGAGACTGCACCTGCATGAAGCCAACCTCTCCCCAGCCCTTTTCAGCCCTCTTCTGGTTCTGGGAGACAAGTGGGGAGGGGAGCTTGTTGCAGCAGAAGGAGGTGACAACCTGAGCTTCTTCCCCAGCCAGACCCATCTCTGCCTCTTGGCCTCCCTCCTCTCCTGCCTCAGCCTTCAATTCTGGACTTCTCTCTGCCACAGACTCTCCTCGCTCACTAAGCCCTGTTGCCTCTTCAGCTTCCAACACCTCCTCCTCCCAGTCTACACTCTCTGACCGCTCATTGTCGTCCCACCACCCCTCCGTGGGCTCTGATCCTTCTTCCTCTGGGGGAGGGGTTCCCCAGCTGGTTCCTCCCCCCATTCCTCTGCATCCAACCTGTCCCTAATAGTGGTGCACAAATTGCTGGGGAGAGCAGGGCTAGCCTTGTCTTACAGTTTGCTCCTTTCCCTGGAGGACCTCGTGAAACCAGACCCTCCCCAGGGAGGCTCGCCTGGCGCCTTCATTGCATTCTTCTTCACTGAGGCCTTTGGCTACGAGAAGCCAAGTTACAGGGAACCAGGCAGAGGGCCTTCTAGGTGGTGGCACCTTGCCCTGTGGAACGCCCTCCCACCAGATGTCAAAGAGAAAAATAACTACCAAACTTTTAGAAGACATCTGAAGGCAGCCCTGTTTAGGGAAGCTTTTAATGTTTAATAGGTTATTGTATTTTAGTGTTCTGTTGGAAGCCACCCAGAGTGGCTGGGGAAACCCAGCCAGATGGTGAGGGTATAAATAATAAAAAATTATTATTATTATTATTATTATTATTCTTTGGCCTTTTAAATGTGTCAGGGTGTTTGTGGGTCATTGTTTTGTTGCTGTTGTTACATTATGTACTTGATGTGTTTTTATACTGTAACCCTCCCTGTGATATTTGGATGAAGGGCAGTATATTAATTTAATACTGTACATATTAATAATAAGAACTTTGAGACCAATGCACCCTGGATTCCCCAGACAGTTCCCTTGGTATGGCCAAACGTGGCCCTCCAGATGTTTTGGGACTACAACTCCCACCATCCCTGACCACTGATCCTGTTAGCTAGGGATGATGGGAGTTGTCGTCTCAAAACAGCTGGAGGGCCAAGTTTGGCCATGCCTGCCTCTCAAAACAGCACTTGATGCTTGGTGATTTATTTGTTTTTTGTAATAAGTAAGTAAGCGAGCAAGCAAGCATTTCCCTCTCTCCCTGCTCAGCCATGCAGTGTGACTACGGGCTGGAGTACGACGCCTGCGGCCCAGCCTGCCCCCCCACCTGCAAGAACTTCGGCCTGGAGGGGGCGGAGCACTGCAGCAGCGAGGCCCTTTCCTGCGTGGAGGGATGCTTCTGCCCGGAGGGCAAAGTGCTGCATGGTAAGATGGGGGGGGCAGAGGACCACCTATTATGGATGCTTTTGCTGCGACTCCTGCAATGAAGGGGGTTGGACTAGATGGCCTTTGTGGTGTCCCTTCCGACTTGACCATTCTATTATTCTAAGAGGCGTTGGGTCCCTGTGCTGAAGGAGGTTGCAAAGGGTCAGCTGGTGTGCAGGAAGAGCAGCACTAGACTGCTGCTTCCGTCCTCCCTTTTCTAAATATTTATTTATTTATTTTAAGTTTTTACAAATATCGTTTACATTCAAATCTACATGTTTTTATAGTCACTTTTATACGTATCTAGGTTTCCCTGAATCTGTGGACTTCCCTCCACCCTCCTGTGGTTTCCATAGTACTTCATTTTATACTGCATCCTATAATATTGTCCAAATTGTATTCAAATTTCCATTTATAACTACAGAATTATGACAAGTGTTGTGTTATGTGGGAGCCATGAAGTCATGGCAAAGGCTTGTAGCGCCACCTGGTGCCTCGGTGACCTCGGTGACCTGCATGTCCGTGCCTTGCAGTGTATTAAGTGCATAGCCTTATATGGAGTTATGTTCCCCCTCTGGGCAGTAATTACCCTATATGGCGATGGGTGGGTAAAAGCCATGACCGGATGTAGGTAATGTGAGACATTGGCAAACGGCCATGCGAGAGGAGAGAACAAAGGATAATAAAAGTTACGGGAGAGAAGAGAAGTTCGAAAGGAGCTGCTCATACCATCCTGAAAATATTGCTGGCTCTCTGTGTCTTTATTTTATGCTGAGCACCATTTGAGACGGCTGGCTTCCGTCAATGTTAATCCTGTTAATGTTTTTAACTGTGTTCTTTAAGATAATCTATAATTTTTTCCCCCATTCCTAATTAAATTTATTATCTTATTGGCTTCTGATTCTCCCTGTCAATTTTGCCATTTCGGCATAGTCCATCATCTTGATGATCCATTCTTCTCTGGTTGGAACTTTATCATCCTTCCATCTCTGGGCGGCTACTACTGTCCCCCCTGGTCATCAGCCATGATGAGAGGTCCCTGGATAGAAGGATGAAAATCCTAGAATGGTAGAGTTGGAAGGGACCACGAGGGTCATCTAGTCCAACCCCTGCAATGCAGGAGTCTTTTGCCCAATGTGGGGCTCTAACCCACGACCCTGAGGCTACAAGTCTCGTGCTCTACCCACTAGGCTATCCAGCTGGGTACAAACTGAAATGCCTCTCCGCCATTCCTGCAGCAACCCGTCAGTGCTCCCACAAGTGTTGAGATCCGCCCAAAGAGCTCTGCTCAGGGAAGAGATCCTGCTTGCAGGACTCAAACCTGGGGCCGGCCATGGTGAGAAGAGGCTGCCAGACTCAATGGGCTTTTGGCCCGATTCAACAGGGCTCTTCTGATATTCTGCTGTTCCTTCCCTGCCAGGCGGCCACTGCATCGACCCCTCCGAGTGCCCTTGCTACTGGGAGGGCACTCTGTTCCCACTGGGAGCCCTGGTGATGCAGGAATGCAGGAACTGGTAAGTCCGTAAAGGCTGGCTGGACCAGGGCAGATGGGAAGAATTGTCTACCTACCCATGAATGCACCTGAGATTGCTCAGACCTGCAACACTTTTACAGGGGGGTGTAAAAAGCAGGACGCGGGTGGCGCTGTGGTCTAAACCACCGAGCCTCTTGGGCTTTCCGATCAGAAGGTCGGCGGTTCGAAGCCCCGCAACGGAGTGAGCTCCTGTTGCTCTGTCCCAGCTCCTGCCAACCTAGCAGTTCGAAAGCACACCAGTGCAAGTAGATAAATAGGTACCGCTCCGGCGAGAAGGTAAACAGTGTTTCCATGTGCTCTGGTTTCCACCACGGTGTCCCATTGCACCAGAAGCACTTTAGTCCTGCTGGCCACATGACCCGGAAAGCTGTCTGCGGACAAACGCCAGCTCCCTCGGCCTGAAAGCGAGATGAGCGCCGCAACCCCATGGCCACCTTTGACTGGACTTAACCATCCAGGGGTCCTTTACCTTTTTTACCTTTACAAGTGCAACACGATGTTCATTCTGCACTGTACCCCGGGGGTTGTAAACTGCTCTGATATACAGTGGAACCTCAGGTTATATTACCCTCGGGTAACATAAACTTCGGGTTGCGAAAGCAGCAAACCTGGAAGTGTTTCACTGCTTGCGCATGCTCAGAAGTGGTCCTCTGGTTGCAAAAACTTCGGGATACAGCCAGACCTCCAGAATGGATCCTGTTCACAACTGGAGGTACCACTGTATATATTTTATTTAGATCTGTGTAAATATATTTTGCAAAGGAAGCCCCGCAAAGAGCACATTGAGGCAGCCCAGTCCTGCACTAAGCAATGCGTGAACTACTGTGGCCAACTTTTCCCTTTCCAGGAATGGCCGTAGCTGTCGTGCCATGACCTCTCCTTGTGGCACTGCACTGAGCCTCAGACGGCCCCAGTGCCCACCTCACACCCACCCCGCTCTTTCTGACGCTTCTCCCTTCTGCAGCTCCTGTGAGGCCGGCTTGTGGCAGTGCGTCACCCCCCTAGAACCGTGCACCACATCGCCCCGCTGCGCCGAGACAGAGTTCGCCTGCCACACAGGCGGGCGCTGCGTGCCCAGCGCCTGGGCATGCGACAACGAGGACGACTGTGGGGACGGCTCAGACGAGTTCTGCACCTTGAGCTGCGCCCCTCACCAGTACCAGTGCGCCAGCGGGCAGTGTGTGCCCTGGGGATATCGCTGCGACGGAACTGCAGACTGCCTGGATGGCTCGGACGAGAGGGACTGCCCGCTGCCTGCCTGTGCCCTGCAGGAGTTCCGCTGCGCCAATGGGCGTTGCATCCCCCGTGAGCATCTCTGTGACGGGGAACTGGACTGCGGCTTTGCGGATCATTCCGATGAGGCCGGTGAGCGCAGAGCAAAGGGAGGCACTCAGAGCAGCTGAAATGGGGGGGGGGCGGAGGGAGAGATTACCAGCTGACCTGGGGGACAAGTGGAATTCTCTCTGGAGTAAGGTGTGCATAAAAATGGGTATGCAGGTGTCTCTCCACTTAGACGTCTTTGACTCTTGTGTATGTGCGGCGCTGGGAAATAATTAAGTAAATTGATTTAAACTGCAGAAAGGGCAAAAATGGCCCCAAAAGAGCAGGAAAGCTGCAAAAAATGGCACAAAAAGGGAAAAGCTAGCAACCTCATGAACTTTTGCACTGACCTTTGAGGCCAGTGGAGAGTTGGAGTTTGAGAAAGGAGGTTTGGAGGGAGCGATTGTGGTGGTGTTTGGCAGATTTTGTGGGTGGTTGGCGGAGTTTGGCAGCCCACAGAGGTCCTGGTGTGTCCCCTCTCAACCAGATAGTGGGTGGTTCCCCAGATGAGATGTCTGGGAGGTCACCTGCTCTGAACGGGGTTGCACTCCTTCTTAAGGAGCTGGTACATAACTCAGGGATATTGCTGGATCCTTTGCTGTCGCTCGAGGATCAGGTGGCCTCAGTGGCCCGGAGCGCCTTCCATCAGCTGCACCCCGTCTGGACAAGGGCAGCCTGACTTCCATTGTTGATGCTCTGTTGACCTCTAGGATAGATTACTGCACCGTGTGATGCATGGGGCTGCCTCTGAAGACTGTTTAGAAACTTCAGCTAGTGCAGAATTGGGCAACCAAGTTGCTCACTGGAGCAAGACAGTTTGAGCATATTACACTGATCCTGGCCTGCCAGTGAGCTTCTGGGCCCAATTCAAAGTGTTGGTTTTGACCTATAAAGCCTTAAATGGCTCAGGACTGCAATGCCTCAAGGACTGCCTCTCCCCATATAAACCATCCCAAAATCTGCGTTCATCATCAGAGGCCCTTCTCCGTGTGCCTCTACCATGAAGTCTGCAGAGTGGCAACTTGAGAACGGGGCCTTTTCTGCAGTGGCTCCCCGTCTATGGAACACTCTCCCCAGGGTGGCGTTATATACCTTTAGGCTCCAGGCAAATATGTTCCTCTTTAACCAGGCCTTCAGCCATTATACAATCCATGGCCTTTTAAAAGTGTGTTGGAGTGGGACTGCTATTACGATTTTTACCTGTGATTTTTAAATTTGTCTTTTCTTATTATGCTATGTAAATTATGCTTTTAATGTTGTACCTCTTCAGATAAAGGGCGGCATGTAAATTGCAGAAATAATAATAAACAATAAAACAACCCCTTCTCAGGCTGTGGGCCCCCCTGTGGGCCGAGCGAGTTCCGCTGCGCAATGGGGCGCTGCTTGCCGTACCTCCACCGCTGCGACCGGCACGACGACTGCGGAGACTTCAGCGACGAGAGCGGCTGCGTGTGTCCGGCTGGGGAGTTCCAGTGCCCCGACGGCCAGTGCCTGCCCCAAGCTCTGCTTTGTGACGGGAAGCAGGACTGTCCCGCCGGAGTGGATGAAGCTTTCTGCCCAGGTGAGAGCGGTCATCCCCCGTAGGTCAATGGCGGGGCAGCTGCTTTGCATGCAGAAGGTCCCAGCTCCCGTCTACACACACCCAGTGTCCCCTCCAGTTACAGCTGGGAAAGACCCCTGGACCCCCAAACCCTGGGGAGGCACTGCCAGTCTGTGCAGGGAATGCTGCGCTAGGTGGACTCCGAAGGTTTTGATGTTCTGCACTGAAGGTTTACAAGGTCCTGTCAAGCGTCTTTGGTAATCTTGGGGGGCTTTCCAGCAGCGCTGAGCTGCAATCCAGGCTTATCAAGACGGCCAATGCGATTCAGATGTTTCTTGCAGGCTTATGGTTTGCCTTTCCTTCCCTCCAGATCTTCTCCCACCATACCCGGCCTGATTATTTTCAGTTTCCTGATCTGAACTAAAATTAAAAAATTCCTTCCAGTAGCACCTTAGAGACGAACTAAGTTTGTTATTGGTATGAGCTTTCGTGTGCATGCGCACTGTGTATCTGAAGAAGTGTTCATGCGGTCAGCAGCATTGCAGCCTTCAACTATGGAGGCTGAGCAGAGCCATCACGGTCCCATTTAGTGGGGTGGGGGAGCTGAAAATAGCACCAATATATTTCACATCTGGCAACCAATATGCCCCTTGGGTTTCAGGTAGTCTTCTTTGGCGATCCCTCGTAGCCGAGTAAGATTGTCTTCCAAAAACACGGTTTTAACAATGAGTCCGTAAGGGACTGTGGAGGCCAATTCTGGATCCACACGCCCTTCCACACTGGGGACATTGGTTCCAGGTGGGAGTTGATCACGGTGTGGGTTTGCCGAGCGTGCCTTCCTCTTAGCACGTTTCTCCCTTGCGTCCTGAGTTCGAGCATCATCAAAGCCCATGACACCTTTGGCAAAGGCTGTTCTCCAACTGGAGCACTCGCAGGCCAATATTTCCCAATGTCAGTGTTTATACTACATTTTTTTAGATTGGCCTTGAGAGAGTCTTTAAACCTCTTTTGTTGACCGCCAGCATTACGCTTTCCATTTTGAAGTTCGGAGTAGAGGAGTTCCTTTGGAAGGCGATCATCAGGCCTCCACACAACTGTGTTAGTTTTATGATGTTAGCTGCCCTGAGCCCAGCTCCGGCCGGTGAGGGCGAGGTACAAATAAAAAATTATTATTATTATTATTATTATTATTATTATTATTATGACCAGTCCAACAAAGTTGATGTTGAAGAATCATCGCTTCAACACAGGTGATCTTTGCTTCTTCCAGTACACTGGCTTTAGTTCGCCTGTCTTCTCAAGTGATGTGTAAAAATTTTTGTAGACGCCGTTGATGGAATCTTTTGAGGAGATGGAGGTGGTGTTTATAAGAGAAGATGGAGGTGACGTTTCAGATAGTACATGGGTAGACGAGTCTAAAAAGCCCAGAACACAAATTTCCACCAGAAGCAATGTATTTAGCATTAACTCTGGAAGGGTAGACTCGATTCTGACCAAACTAAGCCTCCTGAGAAATGAAGGAAGGCACTAGAATGAGCGAATGGTGGGCTGGTCTTCACCGTACCCTCCTCCCCCCGCAGGCCGTGTGACGTGTGCCCCTGGGCAGCTACCTTGCCCGGATGGCGCTTGCGTGAGCCGCTCCCAGGTGTGCGACGGCATGCGCGACTGTGCCGAAGGCGCCGATGAGAAGCCACCACACTGCCCGGCGCCCCCGACCACACCTCCGGCAGCCACTGTGCCCCCCAGTCTTCCTGTGACTCACCCGTCCCCCGGGAACAGGACTCTGGGTAAGCAGGCTCCATGAAACCCAGAAAACACAGAGCTCCTTCCCGGTGCTGAGTAGCGCTGCCTAGTGGGAAGGGCCAAGGCTGCCCTCACACAGCTGTCGTCAGCCCCCATGTTTTGATCTAGAGTTCCCAAGAGCTCTTACCAGTTAGGGAGAGGCATGTCCACCAGTCCTACGTCTCTCAGCTACCCATTGAGGTCGTTGCCGAAACAGAGAGGCCTCGACCTCAGCTTGTGTGCCCAGGCTGGCATGAGCAGGCAAAGACAAAGCCTGTGTGCAAGCTGCGTCTGCTCTTCCCTCTTCCCTCCTCTTCTGGTCCTGGGAGACAGTGGGGCAGGAGAGGTGGGGGCAGGAGGAGGAGACACAGGGAAGCCCTGGGCTCTACAGCACCCTCCCTCTTCCTGCACCTCTGCTTCACCTTCCAATCCTGCTCTGACACTCCTGACTCTGACTCTCGTCTCCTGGCTGTTACAGGCTCCCCCAGATCACTGGTCCCTTTTTCCAAGCCAGCCTCCAATCTCCAGTGTCCAGCCAGTCCCTGACAGGATCCCTGGGGAGAATTTTTCTCCCAAGCAGGGGTGAAATGGCAATGCATCATCTCCCTGCACTGAAGTCTCTACTATTTGGGTTGCTTGGTGGCCCTTGCAATAACAGCAGATCTTGCGAGATCTCGTGAGATTTCAGAGGTGAAGGTGGCGGGGAGGGCAGGGCACCCATGGGACACCTGCCCTTGGGCTTCTGCTGCCTGAGGTGGCTGCCTCAGTCTGGAGCCTTGCTCTGGACTTCTTGACCTCTTTCCTTCTCTCTCCCCTTCTCCTTCTCTCTCGTTCTGCCCTCCTCGCAGCGCCACCCTGCGGCCGCTACGAGTTCCACTGCCACAGCGGGGAGTGCCAGCCGCGCGGCTGGGTGTGCGACAACGAAGCCGACTGCCTGGACGCCAGCGACGAGCTCCAGTGCAACCGCACCTGCGGTCTGGACCAGTTCCCCTGTGCCCATGGGGCAGAGTGCATCCACTACAGCCGGCTGTGCGACGGCGCCCCCCACTGCCAGGACCAGTCAGACGAAAGCGTTGACACCTGCGGTGAGCAGATCCTGCCCCCACGACCGGGGCTCTCCGCAGACGGCGAGAAGGGCTGGGTGGACAATTCCTGCGTGGCCGGGGTCAGACTAGAGAACCTTCAGGGGACCATTCCAACACTACAAGTCTATGATTCCAACTTGCCCTGCCTCTAGGGCACGCACCGGAGCTAATTTGGAGCTGGGCACCAAAAGGCTAAGGCTGGTTTCGCTGGATCATAAAAACATAGAATGGTAGAGTGGGAAGGGACCCCGGGAGTAATCTAGTCCAGCCCCCTGCAATGCAGGAATCTTTCATCCAACGTGGGGCTTGAACCCACAGCCCTGAGATTAAAAGTCTCCTGCTCTGATCAAGTCCATCTGCTTTGTTGAACTGATCAAACTAAGTAGCTATAATTGGGTTTTGAATAAATGTGCAATTAATTGTTCTTTTGAATTTTACGCTGTTGTTACCTTCCTTAGCGGGTAGTGCAAACTGTTGTTTTAAATAAGGCTTTTTATAGGATAGGGAGGGGGGCACTGGGGATGAGTTTTAGGCCCCCCCTCCAAAAAAGCCACTGAGCTTAAACTGAAGTCTAGACTGTGGGAATGAGGCCCCGTCATCTGGCGATGGGGAAGAAATTCCTTCCAGTTCACATGGAGAGGCAACCCTTTCAAATTCACCCTTTCTGGAACAATTTGCGAAGCGAAACACAGCCCTCCTCTGAAAACCTCCCAAATTTTGGAATGCGGTGCTCCTATCAATGCGCAGGTTAGTGCAAATAGCCTTCAAATATTATTCCCAGGCATAATGAAATAATGTTTGTCACTGCAAGTGTTTTTTAGGATGGTTTAGCTGAAATTGTTTTCAGAATGTTTTAAAGGTTGACATTGTGGATCCGCTTGCCTCTCTGGGCTCCTCCAGGAGGGAAGATGGGCTACGAATTCAACAAAATTTCAATTAACGGAATTGTGGGGGGGAATTGATCTGTGAAAATGTGCACGTTAGGGGAAATGGCATGCGAGCATGTGTATGTCAGGAGTTCGCTGGCGACTTTTCCTGTGGGTTTTTTTTCTTAAAAAGAACTGATGTGAGGACTGGACATGTAACATCTAATTCCTTAAAAATCAGCACTAGCTCACCACAGGGATGTGTGCTAAGTCCCTACCTGTACTCATTGTATACATATGATTGTGTATCATCTGATCTGCCTACTGCAATTATTAAGTTTGCAGATGACACCACCATAATGGGTTTAGTAACAGGTGGTGATGAATCAGTGTCTAGAGGGGAGGTCCAAAAAATATCTACATGGTGCCTAGGGAACAACTTGCACCTTAATACCAGCAAGACAAAGGAGATGGTGTTGGACTTTCGGAGGAAGAGAGGAGAATTCGCCCCACTGTGTGGAGAGAGTCTCTTCCTTTAAGTTCCTAGGAGTTTATATCAGTGAAGACCTTAGTTGGAAAATCAATACAACCCAGGTGGCTAAGAAAGCCCAACAGAGACTCCATCTCCTCCGAGTATTGCGGAAGAACGATGTCAATCAACATCTGATGATCTCCTTCTACCAGTCCACAATAGAAAGTGTCCTTTCCTACTGCATCAGGGTGTGGGACGCTGGTTTGACATTGGGCTGTCCCGTGAATCCGCTGGATGAAATAGCGGAAGAACGTTGCCTCAGGAGAGTGAGGGAAATCCTCAGGGGTGATTCACACCCTGGCCGGCACTTTCTTGATCTCCTGCCCTTGGGCAGAAGATATAGAAGCAGGATTAGTCACGCCAACAGGGTGAAGAACAGCTTCTATTGTGGGCTGTTAGGCTGCTGAATGAAAAGATAACAACAGGGCAACTGACTTTCGGTTTGGTGGGTGTGCGTCAGTAAACGAGGGGAATTAAGACTAAGAGAGCTGAGTGGGGGGTGCTCATGTAATCTCACTGTATACAAGTTGTACAAGTGACAATAAAGTATTTCAATTCAATTCAGTTTCAATGTGGAGAAGGGGCTGTAAGGTGGGGGAAATGAGGAACCACCCTCAGCCTCTCGAAAGAGACCTGTGGAGGCATCTCAGGTGCCCATCTCATCCTGTCTCCCTGGGAATAACCCTCCTTTCTCCTTCCTGGCGCAGGCTCTACGCAGATCCCGCCCTGTCCCGGCTTCTTCATCTGCGACAACCGCATGTGCATCAATCTTTCCCGGGTGTGTGACGGCTCCCCAGACTGCCCCCAGGGAGAAGACGAGATGGCCTGCGGTAAGGAGCCTCCAGTGGCCCTCGCCTGGCGGGCAGCTGGAACGGAAGTGGGGTGAAAAGGGACCCTCTCACAATATCCTTGCCCAGATTTGAGACTCTTGCTCCCTTCTCTGGCTGGGAAGGAGGAGAGGGGCTTTGCTGGCCATCCGATGCGCTAGAGCTACCTCCTGCGTAAAAATCAGTCCAGTTTTGCAAGCAAGCTTCTAGTCCTCATGAGAAACTGTTTGAAGACGTTCAGGCAGAGGTTTCTGGGAGTGTGGGAGGGGCCTGGGCGTGTTAAGCAATTCCCAGTCCTCCCTCCCCTTCCCCAATTTGTTGTCTGCCTTGTCTCTCCCCTTGTTGCCCCCCTCCCACATTCGCCCTCGGCCACTTCTGTTTCTGGCAAATGTATTTCCAGGGTTGCAAAATCCAAAGCAAGGTAGAGTGAATGAGCAGACACAACTGCATGCCCAGCAGCTCAAGTGGTTTTCATTTTATTTGTTTCTTTGTTTGTTTTCTATTTCTATGCTGCTTTTTATTCAAATAAATCCCAAAACGGCTTACAAGCAAAAGATCAAAAAACCAGAACGAAACATCATGAATACAGCATAAATTGTATAGAATACTTAACAAATCATCAGTGAAACAATCGTAAACGAAACAATTACCATCTGTGTAACGCTATTAACAAAACAACTAAAAAATAAGCATCACAGTTACACCAAAAATCATGTTATAGGATTCCCAAAGCACGACAGCATTCATGTCTATAAACAATACAGTGGTACCTCAGGTTAAGAACATAATTCGTTCTGGAGGTCTGTTCTTAACCTGAAACTGTTCTTAACCTGAAGCACCACTTTAGCTAATGGGGCCTCCTGCTGCTGCCGCCACACCGGAGCACAATTTCTGTTCTCATCCTGAAGCAAAGTTCTTAACCTGAAGTACTATTAGCGGGGTTAGCGGAGCCTGTAACCTGAAGCGTATGTAACCCGAGGTACCACTGTATTACCAACATTAACAAAATAGCAACGAAATAAACAAGCCAAGCCCTGTTTATCCTGCCTGCTGGTCGTCACTCGTGCGCATAGGTTATTTTCATGTGCAACTGAGTGGAACGATCGCACGGTTTTCCAGGGCTGATGTTGTACCTTCATAATCAGAGATGATTTGTCCCTGAAGACCGGTTCCTAGGAATCACAAATTGGAAGTGCGGTGTTGGCATAGGGTCCAGGGCCAGATTTAGGTTTGATGCGGCCCTCAGCTACTGAAGGTAATGGAGCCCTTTAGATGTCCAGCTGTCCTTTGTCAACAACAAATTGTCGCTGTTTCTTGTGTTGAATATATGCTATATGGTCATTTATGGACCTAATAGGTATTTCAAGCCATTTGCACATGCAGAATGTAGGCACCCTATATAGAAAAATGAGCAAACCAGGGAGCAGGCTAGCAGGCGGGGCCCATGACTTACATCAGGGGTCAGCAAACTTTTTCAGCAGGGGGCTGGTCCACTGTCCTTCAGACCTTGTGGGGGACCGGACTATATTTTGAAAAAAATAATGAACGAATTCCTATGCCCCACAAATAACCCAGAGATGCATTTTAAATAAAAGGACGCATTCTACGCATTGAAAAACACGCTGATTCCCGGACGGTCCATGGGCTGGATTGAGAAGGCGATTGGGCCGCATCCGGCCCCCGTGCCTTAGTTTGCCTACCCATGACTTACGTCATAGGAGCCTACACAACACAAAACACTGTTGCTGTATGCAGGTTTTATTTTATTTGTTTTTTATCTTAAATTTTGGAAATGTACATCCAGTTTTTTTCCTTTAATTTTTTTGGGGGGCCCCCAAGAGAGTGGGGCCCTAAGCTGTAGCTTGTTTAGCTTATACGTAAATCTGGCACATATTGGGTCCTTTGCCTGGGCTTCTGCTCAGAGTCTGGTCTGGTGGGTCCAAGATTCCGGACAAGATCCTGCAGGCTCTGCGGATGTCCTTACACAACGCAGAAGATGTTCCACTTCCCAAGGAGTTGACCAAGGGTCTCCTGGTGCGTCTTGTGGGGGCGGCTGCTGAGGAGAGCCAAGGAAGGCTTCTTCTGACCCCCCAACGGGCTGGGGACGGGTGGGGTCTCCTCCTCCTCTGCTGGCCCTCCTGTGATGCTCATGGCTTTTCCTTCTGACCCACACAGAGAGCCACGTGGTCCGTCCCGGCGAAAGGAACCAGACTGCGGGACCCTGTACGGAGTACTCCTGCGGGGATGGCGCCTGCATTGCCTTTAAACAGGTGCGATTGGGGGTTGTGGGGGGGCTTTCACCCCGTCTCCCCTGCCCAGATGTTCTTCCCCCCAACCACTCTAAAAGGTCTCATTTCACACTACCCTAATCCCTGGTCCTGTCCAGCCACCCATCCAGTTCTCTTTCCCATCTGCAAAAGGGATCTCAAATATTTCGGGAAAGAACCAACAGCTCAGGACTGTGATACCTTAAGGACTGCCTCTCCCCAGATTTTGCGCTCGTCCCAGGCCCCTCTCTATGTCCCCATTTTGACAAGAGGTCTGGAGGGTGGCAACACAAGGATAGGGCCTTTTCTGTGGTGGCTCCCTGCTTGTGGGAAGTTTTTAAGGACTGATGTTTTAATGTATTTTTAATCTCTGTTGGAAGCCGCCCAGAATGGCTAGGGAAACCCAGCCAGCTGGGCAGGGTACAAATAATATATTATTATTATTATTATTATTATTATTATTATTGAATGCTCTCCCCAGGGAGGTTCAGCTGGTGCCTTCATTACATGTCTTTAGGCACCAGGCAAAATCATTCCTCTTCACCTAAGCCTTCGGCCATTGAATATAGGGGGTGGGGACTGTAACAATTTTTTTATTATTATGCTGTGTGTTATTATGATTTTTATTATGTTTTTATTATTGATGCTCTGTAAAACGTGTTCTTAATGCTGTACAGTGCCCTAGGATCTTTAGATAAAGGGTGGTATATAAATTGAATTATTATTATTATTATTATTATTATTATTATTATTATTATTAGAGACCCACAGACCTTGTTTGGGTTCTTTTCCATAGAAAGAGAGACTAGTGGTTGAAGGATGTAACAGACCAGGGAAGTTTTTAATGTTTGATCCTTTATTGTGCTTTTAATATTTTGCTGGGAGCTG